CTTGTAATACTCATACTAAGAATATAACAAAGAAAAATCATTCAATTTATATAAAAATAAAAATTATTGTCTTTAAAATTCTAATTAATTATATTATCAGTTATAATCCGTAATTGGAATTTATATATTAGGATTACTAATAATTGTGTATTTCCTGAATTGTTCATAATATTGTTGTACTCAATAACTAAGATATTGTAATTTACGAGAACATATGCGGGATATAAAAAAATTGCAATTACAAATAAAAAAGATTATTTTCCGTAAAAAGAAAAATAGCGAAAAAATTTTATTATTTAAAATTTAATTTTCGTAAATTTTCAGAAATATTTACAAAGGGTATTTAAACAACATATATATATGTACTCCGTTAAAAATCTAAATTAAAACTAAACTTTAAACAAAAAATATATTTATTTCGGAACCCTACTACATTCCGCAATTTATTTTATATGAATACCATACCGTTACTTATTTTATATTAATAATTAATTCATATATATTAATTTTATACAAATATATTTTGAGTATAACCGAACGTATTTAACGAACATACATATAAATTTATTAAAATACATGTATTTTATTGTTATATTGTTGTTTTTTTTATTTATTAGATTAAATTATATACGAATACATACATATGATGATATTATATTAAGAATGTATACTTGCGGTTCATTCATTTCAACACTTTTAGAATATTTTAATATGCGTTTGAAAAAAACAAAAATTTAAATAATAAATTATGAGTTCAATATTAAGAACTTTAACCCTTTAAACCCAACACGTCTATTTTATATTATATATTCTTATTTATATGTGTGTATATGAAATATATATTGTTAAAGGTGAAAAATCGGGATCAATTTCTAAATTATAAATTGAACAGGAAATAAAGTAAATAAGTAGATACACAATAAATATATATATACACATATATCAATGCATGTATATCATATATGTATATCAATGCATGTACTCATATATATTGTGATTTTTGTTCATAAATTAATTTCCCTTTATACAAATTTTTACTTATTTGTATTTGTATGTAGATACATGTAATTTAAAAAAAAAATCAAATTTCTTGTAACGGTATATAAGCACGCACATTTTCTTTAAGGATTTTTATAGGATATACGAATAATGTGGACATTGTGTATATAAAATAATTTTTTTCTCATACTTACTTTTAAGAATATTTGAAAACAATATTTAGTAATAAAAAACAGTGATAGATTTTAAAAGCAGCATTTTCAAATTATAATTTTAGTAGGGATAGATATAGTAGGGATTTGTGAGAGAAAATAATTATTTAATGAGATTTATCATAAGATATTAATAAAATCGGGTCGAATTCTCAAATCTGGTACAAATTTCAGTATTTCATCATCGGTTCCCAATTGCTATATATTGGCCATAAAAATAATTGTGTGAGCCAAAAAAAGTCTCTGTCACTTCAACATGTTCACATGCATAGTGTTACAACAGATTTCATTTAATGAAAACGAATAATTTCTTAATTTTGATTCTCTGAATAATTTGATGATTAACTTAACTTTTTCGAACAATATTAATTTGCATAAGAATTGATCCTTGGCTTAAGAAATCTAAAATGTGCTTATCTAAATACACTTTTGAAATATTTTGAACAATTTACAATTTATATTTTTAAAGTAAATCTTAAAATTGAGCTCGAAACACACTATATTTTTCCCACTTACGGCATTCTTCCTCTAATTCTTTTCCACATAGTTTTAAAATACAAACTGAAAAATTTCATCAAAATTCGACATATTTCATTCAAATTTTCGTCCAAAAAAAAAAGAGAGAAAAAAAAAGGAAATCCCTAATAATATTTTTTTTATGAAATTTTAAAGTTTTAAAAAATTTAATAGAATTTTGATAAGAAACCAAATTAATCAATCAAATTTTATTTGCAGAAAATCTTTTTTTTTTAAATTAAGTATTTAAAATTTATTCCAACTAATTTGTTAGTCATATTTCTTAGTCTTATTCCTAAGTAATTAAGTATGTATGCGCTGTACTTTGTACTTACATAAATATGATTACATTATGCATGCTTGTTGTATTAATAAAATAAGTAATAATGATGGTATACTTATGGCTTATTAAATATATTTATTAGTCATCATTTTTGTAATTATATTATATGAGAGGTACTGCAAATTTCGCGTAGATATTACTTATTTGAATGTATATGTGTGTATAATAATTTTGTACCTACATCAAATTTATCATTTAATTATTAAATTTCATTTAAAATAACGTAATATATATTTGATGATTTTCTTAATTTCTGCGTATTACACTTTATCAATTATAATTTGAATCTTTGCTACACTACACTTATATTTTAATTATTAAATAATTTGTATATTATGAACATTTACGTAATATGTAGATGTTTATTCAATTATATACAGTAATATGTAAAAATGTATACTGTACACGAGTAACAAATTTAATTTTATTTTCTTATTTGTGACATATGAGAGGAACATTTTAAATAAACAACATTTGCAATTACAATATACTTACTTACTTAAATTATGCATTAAGAGAACATATTTATATATACAATGTATTTATCGTGTATATAAAGGTACTTATACACGATTGTAATGCATTTGCAATGCATATACACACATATTAAATAAATATTCATAAATTGTACAATAAAACTACTTTAACAGATTGCATACACATTTACAAACGTTTTTATTCGTACAATTTCTTTGGAATTAATCAACCGTTTATACCTTATACCTATTTTAGGTTTTAAATCATATTTTAGTACAAATGTATACAAACACATACACACAGAAATATAAAATATTAACTGTTGGCTGGTATTTGATATCAATTAATCCAAAAAATACAAATACAAACAAATCAAAAAGAAAAATAAAGACAACAAAAAAAAAAAAATGCAAAAATCATCAATTTTTTTTTTCTTCTGATTTTTTTTTTGTTGCTGTTTTTTGTTTTTAATATTCTTTGTGTGATTTGAGATGTCATGATTAAATAACGGAATTTGAACTAAATTATTTTTTTTTTGTTTTTTAAGTAAAAATAAAATTTTTAATTTTTTTAATTTTTTCTTAATTTTTATATATTTTTTTTTGTTCCTATACGTTTGTATTTGTAAGTACATACTTATTTATTATGGAGATAAACAATAATTTTTGTGCCAATTATTGGCCAAATTTTCTGAGTTCAAAATCAGTTTTGTAAGCTTTTATTGGGAAATGAACTTTTTAATAAAACCTTATTAATCTATATGATGTACGAGTATATAAAGCAGTTTAACATTACTTGGCAAGACTTATAATATTTAACAACTTATAACTAAAATAGAATATATGTACATACATTTTATATAGACTTTAGGCGGTATATAAATTGAATAATTTGTGAACATAGAGAATATTGCAAAAAATTGATTATACTTATTTAAATATATATAGTATACATAGTGATATGCCATTTATTATGTACATTAAATTTTTGGGAGACAACTCTGGCACTATATGATATTAAAAATGCTGATTGTTAATATTTTTTTGTAATATGATATTTGTAATATATATTTCTCAATTTTGCATACCACTAGGCGCTCTGTTTTTAAAATTATGCCTATCTAATTAATTAAATTATTTTATAACATCACAATATATTATTATTTTCAATTTAATTCAATAATTTCCTATTTTAATTTGTACAAATAAAAATATTCAAGAAAAAAATAAATAACAACCTCCTTATCATAGGGAAAAAAAATCCGATAAGGATCTTACGTCTGTATACAATATTTCGTAATATATATATACATATGTCGTAATATATATGTACATATTATATATTCATAAAAATTTGGCGTCAACAGACTCTTCTCAGCGACAAATTGAAATTTTCATTTCAATATAATTATTTGTAGATGTTATAAATTCAATAAATACTTATATACATGTATATATATATTTACATATGAACATAATATATAAAAATTTTAAAGAATTTCTAAGTACAATAAAAATAAATAAAAATTGAATAAAAAAAAAAACTTATTGATTTCATATGTAGATTATCTTATCGGAAACTGAGTCAAACAAACCACTTCTTAGAAAGATTTTAATTGGAAATTGGGAATTTTTTGAAGAAGAAAAAAAATAAAAAAAAAATATTTTATGAATAATTAGATAAAAAATTGAAATGAAATAAAAAATAAAATTTGACTGGGTTTCTTTTTATTTGAAAAATATAAAAAATTTAAGAGTTAATTTTCAATATAAAAATCTTATTTACAGATAACATTTTTGTGCTTATTCTTATGACAAAATGTGTCCTGTTATTAAAATTATGCTGCAGAAATGCAATTGTGCATAATTAACGTATTTTTTACACTATCTAAATAAATTTTAAAAATTATAAACACTTTATATGCAAAAATTTTAATATTAACCTGTGAATTGGTATCACACTTAAAATGCTTCATCATACTACACATTTATATCTAACGCATACAGAATAACATGTGAAATTTACAGAACTTATAATATGTTCATACCTTATACAACTGTGAAAAGTTAATTAATATTTTTGGAATAATCACAAAACAATATTTACAAAATTCAAGTGTACGTACATAAAATAATAATCTTCACTATAGGGTTAACAATTATGCGCATATTTAAATATTTTTATAAATTAATATTCCAGACCACTAAAACCACAGTAACAACAATTTATATCTTAAATTGATAAGAAAAAAAAACAGAAAAATTTATTTAAAAATTTTGCTCTATTTAAAATTCAACTATTCTTTATATTTACGAGTATTCCTGAAAATAAAAAAAAAAAACTCAGAAATCTTTTAAAAACAAAAATGATGCCTTTTATATATAGCATAAAATTTTATTTTTAATTAAAAAATTTTCTCTTCTTTTATTTACAGAAATTCTACTGAAATACGAAAAAAATTTTCCTTAGTAAAAAGGAAAATTTAAAGATGATAAAAACAGTTAGCAATAATAATAATAACAATAATAATCTACTAACATTTAATAAATATACATGCTCATCAAATAAAATTAAAATGGAGAAATCAATTAAAGAATTAACAGCATCGGGTATAGTCAAAACAACATCGGATGATACATCAGAAATTTTAACTTTAAAAAATGATAAAATAAAAAATGAAAGAAGATTGTCATCAACATCTGAATCATCTGTAGAGCCAATGGATTTGGGACGTACACCAACTCCACCACCACCGCCACAACCACAACAACAATCCCAAAACCTAACATCATCATCTACATCATTATTATTAAGAGGAACATTTAATAAAAAAATATATAAAAGTAAATCACATAATGATAATGATGAACAATCAAAAATTAATGATGCTAATAATATTCAAACAACACCAATAAGACGTTGTAGATCATATTCTCATAATGAATCTGAAGGGCCATATGAATCTGATGGACAAGATAATTGTATAAATAATGCGCAACAAGACATATTAGAACCAAATCGTAAACCAAAAAATCTTGATACCAAATTAAAATTAAGATATAATAAAAATAATAATAATAATAATAGTAATAATCGTAATAATCATTATTATCGTAATAATCGTACAGTTGTAGAAATTGAATCAAGTGATAATCCAAATTCATTAAGGAAAAAATTTCGTATTAGTACACCAAATCGAATTAACAATAATAATAATAATTTAGAAAATAATAATAATAAGTGTTATGCAAATGATACTGATAATAATAATGAACTAAATAACAACGAAGATGGTGATAAAATTAAATTTAAAACGAATTCATCTCCAAATTTTAATATTGGTAATAATGATAATGATAATAGTACTAATCGAAATTTAAATGAAAATATAAAAAATAATAAAACAAAATCAATAATGCAAGTAACACCAAGAACATCGACATCTTCATCGTCAAGACGTTGTAGTGATGAAAACGATGATCATATTAGTAATGGTAGTAATGAAATTGGTATGATATCAAATGATATAAATAGTTGTGATGATGATGAAATTAATATAGTTAATCGTACTAATCAAAATGAATCTGGTTTTATTGATGGTAGTAGTCATAATTTAATGAATTCAATTAATTCAATATCTAGTCCAGAATCTAGTAGCGGTGGTAATAACAATAATAATAATAATAGTGGTGGAAATAAAAATGATAACAATAATTGTAATGATATAAATAATAGTTATGGAAATGGACGTAATAATAATGGAAATGAACGGAATAGTAATAATAATAACAGCAATACTACTGAAGATATTAAATATGTTTGTCCAATATGTGAAGTGGTTTCAGCAACACCACATGAATTCACAAATCATATTCGATCACATAATTATTCATCTGGTGATACAGAAAATTTTACGTGTCGTATTTGCTCAAAGGTAATTTCAACAATTTCAATTTTTTATCTTATAATTATTGATTATAATTATTTTATTTATTTTTCAGGTATTATCATCTGCTTCGTCTTTGGATCGTCATGTACTTGTTCATACTGGTGAACGTCCATTTAATTGTAAATATTGTCATTTAACATTTACAACAAATGGTAATATGCATCGACATATGAGAACTCATAAACAACATCCACATCAGAAACGTCGAAGTAGTAATAATAACAATAATAATAATATTAACAACAATAATATAATAAAAAATAACAACAAAGACAACAACAATATAAATTTAACCAAAACAAATAACAACAACATCAATAACAATAATAATAACGGCAACAACTACAATAATAGTAAAAACACTAATTTAATTAATAATTTAAATGTAAACATTAATTCGAATTCCACATCTGATAATTTCAATATAAACAACAGTAGTAACAGCAACAATAATAATAACAGTTCATTATTACTACCACAAACTGGTAATAATACAAATACAGTTATTTTACAAAATGGTAATGTTGATGGTGGCGAAAGCTATGAAAGTGAAGATGGTGGTTGCTCAACAGATTCAAGTGCCAGCAATAATAGCTCAAATTGTAAATCAAATAATATTAGAAATAATAACGGTATTCATACAAATACAACTACTCAAAATGCAATAACAGCAACTGTTAATAATAACACTAACAATATTTATAAACGTAAAAATATTGATGATGATATCAATGGAATAACAAAAAGGCGAATGAAAGCAATTAATAATAATACAATAATTAATGAAAATGATTCAATTAATAATAATTTTATAATATCAACAAATACAAATCCAATACCATTAAATCTTGAAAGTAATGAATCAAGACAACAACAACAGAAATTTTGTTGTCCCGTCTGTAATCGCAATGATTTTATTAGTATGCCAATATTAAGCAATCATATGGATCGTGAACATTCCGATATACCAGCAAAATGTCGACAATGTGATGTTGTATTTAAAACACATAATCAACTGAGTGCTCATCGCTGTTCTCTTACAAAACAACAAATACAACAACATCAGCAACAATCACAATCAATGAATGTAATGCATGGTATCAAGGACTTAACATTTGTTGAATTTAATAGTGAAAAATTTCCATTAATTGCAAAATCATTATGTGATCAGAATATGCGTCAATCAATTATAAATTCAAAATTTGAATGTACGAAATGTTATTTAGCATTTCCATGCTCAAATTCACTTGAAATTCATATGCAAGATTGTAATGTTGTTAATGAAAAGAAATTGAAACCAGTACCACATTTAATTGACCCACAAGCATTGATATTATCAAATATGTTAATGCAACATCCATCAAATATTGGAGTAGATTTACCAAAAGATTTTTCAATGCGAAAAATATTTAATATTCAACAATTGATGCAACAACAGCAACAACTTCAAATACAATCGAATCCACAAAATTTGAACGAAGAAATGAATGAAACGCAAAAAGTAAATTTAAATAATAATAATGATGGTAATATTGGACAATTATCGCCAAGCCAACTGAAGCGTAGTTTAAGTAGTGAAAGCTTAAATTCCAATAAAGATATAATTATTAATGACGATAATAATAATAACAATGATAGTAATAATAAAAATAATACAAATAACAGCAGTTTTGATAAAGAAGAATTAGATCGTCATCGTGATGAATTTTTTGCTCATTTAGATTTAAAAAATAAATCAATGATGACTTTTAATAATAGTAATAGCAATTCAATTAATATTAACACAAAAGAAGCCTCGGAAAAAATGTTAAATCTTAAAAATTTTGATAGCAGTCGAAGATCATTATCACCAACTTTAGAATTGAATAAATCAAATATAAGCGGACAAAATAAAGAAAAACGTGATCAAAAATTACAACAGCAATTACAACAAAGTGATTCAAGAGATTTAGCTGATATACAATCTATTTTGAATAATACAGCCTCTTCAAGTAATTTTCTTAAAAATTTTGAGACTAATGTTAATACACCAATGGGCAGTGAATGTGGTTATGGTAAAGATGAAGAAGAAGCTCAGGATTCATTTACAGCTGAATTTCGTAAAATGAAATTACGTGGTGAATTCCCATGTAAACTTTGTACAGCAATATTTCCAAATTTACGTGCACTTAAAGGTCATAATCGGATACATATAAGCGCTGCTGGAAATGCTGGTCCATATCGTTGCAACATGTGCTTATATTCAATACATGATAAAGCAGCTTTAGTACGTCATATGAGAACACACAATGGTGATCGACCATATGAATGTGCTGTATGCAATTATGCATTTACAACAAAAGCAAATTGTGAAAGACATTTACGTAATAGACATTCAAAGATTACACGTGAAGAAGTTAAACGTGCCATTATTTACCATCCATCTGAAGATTCGTCGTGTGACGATCCAACGAAAAAACTACATTTATTTTCGTCACCCGAATTCGATAACGATGATGAATTACAAATTAATCCAAAAGACCGTTCGACACCAGTTTCACATTTAAAAGAAATACTTCAATCAGAAACTACTACAAAACCTGCAGTTAAAATACAAGTAAAAAGCTTAGAAAAACTAATTGATAAACCGGCGGTAGCTCCATCAGTAGCACCAGTTACAACACCCGTTCCAACATCATTAACATCATCATCTACGTCAATAATGCCAAATCCACATTTTTCAGCAAATTTATCGCGATATGATAATGAAAGTGTCACTGAAATACAAAATAATAACGAAAAACACAATCAACCAAACATAGAAGATTCTATTGACTCACATCAAACTGAACCGATTCGGGCTATAGATTTGAGCATGGATGTTTTGGATTTGAGTAAAAAATCCAAACCCGTTCCGGAAGAAAATACAGATACCCTTAAACAACCAGATATCATTCCCGACGCCTTAAAACTAGATTTATCACAACAATGGTTACTCGCACAACAACAATTTCTTGAAGCATTACCAAAAATGGATCCAACTAATTATTTTCAGTTATGCAGAAATTTGGCTTTACCTTTACCATTTAATCCATTTTTAACGGCATTCAATCCATTGCTTTCAAATACGTTAGGAGATTTCAGCAAGTTTTCACCTTTTATCAATTCAGCAGCGCTTTTTGGGAACCCAGCAGCAGCCCCAATGCCAGGTATTAATGTATCCATGCCCCCAAGTACAAATGAAAACAATATGAGCAACAGCCAAATCAATCAAAATCCCCAAAATCAAACCCCAGTTATTGAAAAAACTCCGAATGAAAGTCAGTTAAAAATTGGGCCTAATACGGTTACACCAAGTAGCACCCAAAATGTACCAAAAAACATCCAAAATTCGCCAATTTCAACTGGAAGTAATCAATTGAATGTACCAGGAACGCAAATTTTACCTCAGACTTTACCTCAAACTAAACGAATGCCAGTACAACAACCGTTACCAACCAGTACTTTAAATCAATCATCTAATAATGTTGGACCAGGTAAGTTCTATTTTACAATATATCTTTAAAAGTTTTTAATCATTTTATTTACTTATACATTTAATAGTTAAAATGGTAATTAAAAATGGAGTTCTTATGCCAAAACAAAAACAACGTCGGTATCGTACAGAAAGACCTTTCGCCTGTGAGCACTGTTCAGCACGCTTCACTCTTCGTTCGAATATGGAAAGACACATTAAGCAACAGCATCCACAGTTTTGGGCACAAAGACAGCGTTCAGGCCAGCACGTTATGCGCGGACGTGGTAGCAACTCAAACGTAGCATCACATATGCAGTCGTCTCATTTAAGAGCACAAGTGCCAAATTCTTTGTCATCCAGTCATTTTGGTACTATTTCAGATCAAGTAAAGTACGCTCTTCTTGCTCAACAGCTTAAAGCTCGTAAAGAAACAGATATCTTACAACAAGCATTAACTCAAGGTTCTAACAACGCCTCCTATAACAATAATTCCGCGTCCAATAATAATACGAATTTAGAAGATGATGACAATGATCCGAAACTAATAATTGACGAAGATGAAGATCTGGAGGAGATTGAAGACCAAGATGAACCTGAAGAAGAATACGATGAAAATGAGAATTGTAATCTTGAAGATGAACCACCAGAGGACGAAAATGAAGTGAAGATCAAAGGTATGTCCCTTCAACAAGATCAAAATGATCGTTGTGGTTCAGAAAATATAATAGGTGCAAAAAAAGTTGCCGAAACAATTTTGGAGCAAGCAATTAAAGCCGGCAGTAGTGCCGTTCATAAAAAATTTGCAGCGAATACTATACCGAAAGAAGAAAGTCTCAAAAATGCCAATAATATGATTGCTCGGGCCGAATCAGTAGGAAAATATTTAAAGGAAGTTGCGAGTTCTTCTTTTAAATCAGAGGAATCACCCGATTTGGTATCTGTTTCGAAACTAGTTGACAATGCTACAAACAATGCTATGACGTTTAATAATTACTTTAAGCCAAATGATATTGTCGAATCCACAAATAACGTTAATCATATGGAACAGAGTGATGAAGAAGGACTTGTAGCTTCTGGAAGTGCATCCGATAATAATTCTGGACCTGAAGAATCTGGTGCTGGTACAAATGCTGTTACTCAAAAAAAGAAATCTGCGTATAGCTTGGCACCAAATCGTGTACCTTGTCCATATTGCGATCGCATATTTCCATGGTCAAGCTCTTTGAGACGGCACATTTTAACACATACCGGTCAAAAACCGTTTAAATGTTCACATTGTCCACTTTTATTTACAACTAAAAGCAACTGTGATCGTCATCTGCTACGCAAACATGGTAATGTAGAGTCAGCTGTATCTCTTTATGTTCCTATTGATGATATGCCGGAACCAGTTCCAATGCCAAAAGCTGTTGCAGAAGCGTTTCAAGCAGCTAAAGTAGCTGCAGCATCAGCAGCAGCTTCAAATAATCATACCACTCAAATTCTGCCAATACAGCAACAATTACAATTACAAACTAAAAAAACAAACGATGAATCACATTATGATTCCATGAAAGAACAAAGATTACTTCAAAATCCACCGCAAAATATAATACCGAAACCAGATCAACAGACTACTGGTATGCAAGTACAGATCTCATCAACCGATTTACCATTTAAATGTCATTTATGTGACAGTTCATTTAGTGAGCGTATGCAATGTTTAGATCATATTAAAATAAATCATATTCAAGAATTTGCATTACTTTTGGCAAAAGGTGCCATTGATACTGACGTTGATCCTAATATAACACAAGTTCAGCATTCAACAACCGAAGAAGATGACAAACGTGACGATGGTCGAGGTAAATACCCAGATTATGCAAACCGTAAGGTGATATGTGCATTTTGTGTACGAAGATTTTGGTCAACAGAAGATCTTCGACGTCACATGCGAACACATTCCGGTGAGCGGCCATTTCAATGTGAAGTATGTTTAAGAAAATTCACATTAAAACATAGTATGCTTAGACATATGAAAAAGCATAATGGTGGAAATCATAATAATCAAGTGACAACACAAAATAGTGGATCGGATTGCTCAGATGATGATCAACCATCATCAAGTATGATTTTAGTAAATTCCTTAAGAAATCATAAAATTCATGAATTATTAAATAAAGTTAATGATAACACTAATAATAATGGTAGTAATGAATGGCATAATAATAGAATTTTACTAAATGATTCTAATATAATAAAAATTGAAGATAATAATAATGAGTTAATCGATTCGTCAACAATTACATCAGCAGCAGCATCAACATTAACATCAAATCAAGGTGCTAATACAAATTCTGATTTAATTGGAAATTTACTTGGTATTAGTGACCAAAGTTTGCTAAATAAATTTTTAACAAATCCTAGTGAAGCAGCAAAATTCTTTGGTGTTGAAAAATAAAAAAATAAGAGAGGATTATTGAATGAAGTTGCAAGTTAATAATTATAGCTTATAAATAAAATTTTGAGGATTCGTTTTCAAAAAGCAATGCAAGATACTTTATTTCGATTCTTTAACAAGTTGAAATATAAAATTTTTTGTTTTTAGAATAAAGTACAAGAATTATAAAATAAAAGGTTCAATACGAGTCCCATTTATTAAATATCATAAAAAATTGATTTGGTTTATCCCAATCAAAAACTATTGGTTGTTTAACAATATTACGATATCAGAGAGTCAAGTTTACGAAACAGTAAAATACAAGAAAAGTCGAATTAAATTTTGTGTCACAAAATGATATCTTAGGTCACAAATAATTGATTTAATTTGAATTCGAGTTAAGTATTTCAAATTTCATGTATGTATTTAGGTACTGTAAGAATTTGTAAATGTTATAGATTTTAAAATAAATTAATATGCAAATATTAAATATAAGGGTATAAATTGTATACTATAAAAATTTATGAAAATATTTAAATTAAATGACAAAAATACAAGAAAAAAAAAACAAAAACAATATTATGATCCTCTAGTCACCAAAAAATAAAATAAATTGTAAATGTATAAATTGTTGTAAGCATATTTAAACTTATATAATATAAAGAAAAATTAATAGCCAATTAATTTAATAAGATAATTATATAATTAAACGAAAAATATAGATTTAATTGCTTAAAAATTAAATAAATTAAAAAAAAATGATTATAATCTTAAATAACATTTAAGATTTAAGAGCAAGCAACGAAGACTTAAGAAACTGTATAAAATAATTAGTTTAATAAAAAATAAGATTTAATTTTAGTAATTGATTTTATGTAATTGTTATGTCTATATGGTAAATTTAATTATAAAAATAATAACAGCAATGTATAAAATGATGATAAACAAAAATGTTTGTGCTTTTAAATAATTCTGAATTAAAATTCTTTTAAAAAAAATTGTTTTGGAAATATTTTCAACAAAATATGAAAAAATTATAATGTAAAAATCCGAAATTAGTTTCTACAATTATAAGAAACGCTTCTTAGTAATTATGAAAATAAATGCTTACTGGTTGTTTAATTGAATTTAATTATTATAATAAAAATAAATTAATTTTATAAAAATATTTTCAAAAATATCACGATTTTTTCTCAATTTTCACCAATTAGACTTTTAAAAATAATTTTATAATTGATTTTAATTATTGTTTTTTAGTGTAATTAATAAAATTAATAAAAATAAATTATATATTTTTTTAAAATTAAAATAATTCGAATAAACCATTGAGAATTGCTAAAATTTTTATCATTATTTTGGTGTTTTCTTTTTTATTTCAAAATTACTACTTATTAATTAGAAATTGGCTAAATTTTAGATGGTAAAAATTAAATTGAATATAATAGTCTTTTTTGTTCTAGATTTTATTTTTTAAAATACTTTATACTTTATAATGAAATCAAAATATGTTCTGCACATTTTTGATATAGGTTCATGTAAACTATGAGCATAAAATTTGCAAAATAAAATTTCCTAAGCAAATTTTTTAACTAATTGGAAGTTTTTGAATTTAGAGTTTCGATTTGTTATATTTCAAAATATTTCAACTGCAGTATATTTTAACTATCACAACTATTTTTAACTTTTATTATTAGATTATTTTCAAAATTGCAATTTTATTTCAGTTTATAAATTTAGATTATTGCTGAATGATGTATGAATCGGTATTGATTATTGAAATTTTGAAATCAGGGTCAATAAATGCATGCCTTTTTATTTGATTTCAAACTGACTCTCTTTATATTTAACGTAGTTATTTTATACAATTTTTCAAATTGTTATAACAATAATTTAAAACTTCATTTTAAATTTCAACTAAAGAAGAACCTCAACTAAAGAAGTCTACAAAAAAGCAAATACCTATAAGTTGATGTTAAATATTATTAACATTTTAAATATTACAGATAATATAACAGATTTTTTTAAAAGATTATAATTCAGATATTATTTTTTTATAGACTATATAACTTTTATATAATTAAGATAATAATCAAAATTTAATTTTATTAATAATTTATTAAATGAACTGGTTAAACCAAATGTAGGGAATAATAATTTTATTACACAAAATTCATAAAATATTAATTTTTAAAGAAAAATATGAGAAAAAAAAAAACAATTTAAATTTTAAAACAGATTGAATTTAAATGTTAATTATAATTAAATTATAGATTTAAAAATACAAAAATAATCTATAAGCAATAATACACAAAATAACCAATTTTCAATTTTTAGAATATTATAAAAGAAATTACAAGTCGAAATATATAACAATTTCTAGTTGATATATGTATGTACATGTACTGGCCAATTAAAAATTTCATAATTAGTAATAGTTCATTTTATTTGAAAAAAAACAAAAAATAATTTAAATATTTATATTATATTTGAGAATTTTAGAATTGCCTTATTAGATTTTCTTTTATATAACCGTGAACAATAAAGAGCCAAAATAAAGTAAAATTACATTAAATTTTGTGTGAAGCGCACTCTTGCAATTTTATAAATCCGTTTTATTATTAAATTTTACTAAAATACAAAACAAAATTAATAATTAGAAGTTCAAAATGTTGTCAGTATGTATGAAATATATTAAAATAATTAATGTATAAAATCTCTATAAAATAAATAAATTAAAAATTTATTATGGAAAATGTTTGTTTAAAGAAAAAAGAAACAATATTTTTAAATAATTTTAATATCGCATATTAATATTAATAACAATAAGGAAAACGTGATAATAAGGAATATTTTTAAAGCGTCATTAGTTCTCTATATTGCAGCTATACAATTTTTAAATTTAATTCTTATATTAATTTTTATACTGCAATATGGAATTCGATGATGGTATTTGATTTTGTAATGTAGAAAAATTTAAATAAAAATATAAGCAAATTTGTTAAGTTCATAAATTGGAAAAAAAAATTGAAATTTAATTATATATTTAATTTTTTGAATTAAAAATAATTTTAAATTCTGTACACAAACTAATATTTTAAAACAAGGCTTATAACTTGTTTCCACATTACAAAATTATCGTTTCCTTAACAATGTACTTATAGAAATTATGTGATGATTCCAAAATTAGAATAATAATAACAAAGCTATTGCAATTTGAATAATTATAGTCTGAGCAGATCTAATACCGAATTCATTTTTATAAATATTTTGAATTTTCATATATTTTCAAATGTTACTTATAGTATACATAAATAATTTTAGTTTGGAATCGTCTCTAATTTTATAGTAAAATAAATATCCTTTTATAAATATGCAATATTCTATATATTATATTTGAGTTCCATATTGCAATAATGCGGCTTACACATATACAGAGAGTGTTTTGCTTAACTGGAGCCTGAAGATATTTTCATATTGAATATTTCAAAATTTAAATAGCTATATGTATAGTAAATTTTAAAATTAATTTAGAAGTGAAAATAAATTTTGAATATAAATAAATTATTATTAATTTAATTATATTAATTAATTATATAATATATATACAAATAACATAAAATAGACTTATAAAATAAAATAAACTTTTATATTTTATTTTAAATTTTCCTTATTATTTTAAAACATTTTTAAAAAATTTTGAAGTTAGAACATTTTTTTTTTTGTTTTCATATTTTCTAATGTATATATTAAAAATTATATAACTTCAAAATTTAATTGAAACCAAAAGTGGCTTATTATGGTAGCTTTGTAATAAAAAAACACACAAAAAATAAAAACAAAAAAAAAAATTAATATTGTGAAAAATTTAAAATGGAAATAAGTACTTAAAATATAAATTATATAATTATAATAATAAAAAAATAATTATTTTATAATATAAAAATTTAGAAATTTAAGTATAAGAGCTCATAACAATTTCATTAGCACTTAATATGCATGTACATAATATATAGCATATAATTACTATAATTAAATATTGAAAATGAAATTGCAATTGAAAATTTAATTTTTATTCTTAATTATATATATATGTATGTATATATAATTTTACAAAAATTTAGATATTGGACCATTATGTAATTACCTAATAATTTAATAAATAAAATAATTTATATTTCAAAACATTACCTTCAATATCACAAAGTAAAATTGAAATTATTCTCAATTAAATTAAATTTAATCTATTAATTTTCATATTTTTCACATAATTAATAAAAAATTTTATTTATATTAAACGTTTACAAAATATTTTCGAAGATTAATTAATCAATGAAATTTTTATTTATCGGCAACCTCTATATCTGTAATTGCCATAATGTCACTAATTTTTATAAATATTTTATTTCAATTATTTATCATTACTGAATATAAGAAATAAAAAATTTAATTATTACTCTTTGGTTGTCTAATCAATACTGCATAATCTGAAAATTAAATGAATGGTGCAAGTAAGAAAATATTTTTATTTTATATTTAATATCAACTGCCAAGAGAATAGCTGCGTTTACATGACTCAATCAGCAATGAAACGTATGCCAACTATTAATCGAAAATTTGTTGTGTAAACACAGGTATTCTCTTCTATTTTAGTATTCCTAACTTCAAAATTACTAAAATATTCTATAACTGTTAAGTTGTTAGGTAATTACAATAATCTGAACAATATTTCAAATATACTGTAACATTATGATAAGCTAAGTTTTTGTTAAAAAAAAAATATGTATTTAATTAACAATAAGAAAAAAAATTTTGTAAATATAAAATATATACTTGTCCATATTGAATACAAAAAAAAAAGTAGCTATGTAGTATTGTAGTATGAATTTAAATCAATATGAAATATTTCTAATTTTTTTTGGAGTACTACTTAAAATTTTTAATTTTTCTCTTGTTTTTTTTCTATTTTGTTCAATTGAATTATGCATTTAATTTGAAAAAAAAAATATTAATTATTTTTCTAATTAAATCTAAAAAATCTAAAAATTAAAATATTTCCGAAAAATCTCTTTAATTTCAAAATATTGTTTCTTAATACTATTGCCATACTATGTGTAATTGTGTTCGAATGTAACTTGCATGACAGTAAATGTTATATAATTTTAGAACATTTAGATAAAATTGAATTCTAATGCTATAATAATCCTTAATTCCATAAATTACGATGGGCTTAATTTAAAATTATTTTCACATTATTGTGAAACAGAAACTTGTTTTTTTTGGTCATTTATTTTAAAAAATATTAGAATTTTGGAAGCAAAAGATTGAAATTGAATGTTAACAATGAGATTATTTTGGAAAAATTTGGCATTTAATCTTACTTACAAATATTCTGTATTTTTGTATTTAATTCAATAATATCTAGAACAATTTCAGAATATCATTTTTCAAAAAGCTCAACTAAAAATGTAATTTTGAAATTAATATTTTATAAGAGAATTTCACCTTTCATACTTGTTCTTTATTTTCCAAATTTTAGTTTAAATTTTTATGTTAAAGAATTATAAATTTTTTTCCATCTTTTATTTAAAAACTATTTTACATAGCTATAATTTTTTTATTTTAATTTCAAAAATATTTTATTATATTATATTCGGAATATATTTTTTATAAAATTTATTTATTTTCTCTTTGCCAGAATAATTGAATATTTTAAAAATATAAAAAAAAAAAATATTTTAAAAAGCAATTCATATTTTAATTGTGAAAGCAACGATTTTCACGAATTTTAAAATATGCATTGTTCTTTTCTTTTTTTAAAAAGTTGTAAATTAAAAATTTGAATTTCAATATAATTTTAAAACACAATATTGATAATACTATAATTTCATAAAAATAATTAATAATGAAATTTATGTAAAAAATTTTTAAAAATTTAAAATAAAAAAAAAAATATTTATATATTAAATAAAAATTTGAATTTAATTATGCACACATTTACAAATTAGATTTTAATCAATTTAAGAAAATAATATTTAAAATAATAAAATTAAAATTTATAAAAAATTTATAATTGTACTTAGTAAGACTTTATAGTAGTGCTTTTTAGTATTGTAATAATTTAGTCAAATTTAAGTTAGATTTTTAAGCAATAATTAACAATATAAAATTGTTTCAACTGTAAAATTATTACAAAAAAAATACAATATATAAATACAATATATAAATAATAAAAAAAAAGATTTTAATTTAAAATAAACAAAATAATAAAAAAATATTATAGAAAATCAGTAAGACTTCTGAAGTAAGAATATTTTGTTTTCTTAATTTTAAATTTAATTTAATATAAAATATGCTTACAAAATTTGAATAAAATTTCATTAAAAATTTATATAGATATAAATATTTTTACAAATAATTTCAAATTTTAAAATAATTTATAAGAATATTTTTCTTTTGTAAAAATAAACCAAATGGATTTTTTTCTTTTTGAATTTAAATTAAATATTTTGTGACTTTAAATTTAGAATTTTATTAAATAATTTACAAAAAATTATATTGTATTAAAGTAAAAATATTATTAAAATAGAATTAAAAATTAAAAAATTAATTAATTTGAAATTTTAATATTATATAAGTCAATATTTAAAAACAAAAAAAAATGTAATTAATAAAATTTGAAAATAAAATAAAAAAAAAAAGGCAAAACAAAGCAAAAATTTAATTATTATAAAATTGAAAAAAAATTATAAAAATAAAAAATAAAATATACAGCAATAACCAAAGCGTATTCTGAGTGTGTAATAAATTTAATTAAAAAAAAAAAAAACAAAAAATAAAATGAAAAATAAAAAATAATGGTATAATAAAAAAATATTGAAAAAAATAAGAAAAAATTAATTTAAAATTTTTGTTTTTTTGAACTATATTTTTATTTTATTTTTATTTTATTGAATAGAAGAATAGAAAAAATCAATTTGTGAAGTAAAAGAAAAAATAAAAAATTTTTTGTTTTATTATAAATTTATTTTTTTTTTTTTTACATTTTTTTCATATTATTTTAATTTAAATCAAAAAATAAAAAATTAAATAAAATTTAAATAAATGAAAATGATTAAAAAATAAAAATAAAAAAAAAAAAAACAATGAAAATGCAATGAAATAAAAATTTTTCTGTGTTGAAAACATAAAAAAGAAAATTTTTTTAATATTTTATAATTTAATTTAATATTTAATAGTCAAAGACACTGAAGACTACACTTTTATTGCGTCTGACTACTATAACATTATTATCCTTATGGTTGTCATGATATGATCCTTATGATATAAAATCTTATAATTTTGGCGTTAACACTAAATTTTCAAAAGAACTCATCAACCTGCAAATGCAAAAGCATTCATAGTAAATATGGGTTTTCGGGTTTTGGGTATAAGGAGGATTTTTGTTTATTCCGTTCTATTCCGTTCTAGAATAGTTCTTGTAGTACGTTCAAAAATTCACGCTACGTAAACTGAAAATATAGATCGTTCGGAAATTCAATCTGTAATAAAGAAATGTCAGTAATGTAGTGCAGACCTCTAGTTTAAATTTTGTCGCTGCCTCATGAAATCTCTTTTCTTTTTTTTTTTATATTTAAAGTTCAAAAAAATTTTAAATTTCAAAATGGTAGATTCAGATATTGAAGTAAGTTATTAAAGTAAGTTTTATAAGTCTTTAAATCTTGGTAAAATTTCCTTATTTTGTAGTGAATTGGTAGGCAAAAATTATTGGGATACAATTATCATAAATAATGTCATTTTCGGACCACTGAATATGTAGAAGTTTCAGAATTTGTAGACTTCGTAAACAAAAAAAAAAACTTGTTTAAAGTTTTTGCATACTGTTAACTTAGAAATTTGTAACTTAAGCATACAGTTAACTTAACAACATTGCGACTTAGAAATTTTCGTTCTAATGTAGAACATTTAGCGGGGAGCGTGCATAAGCGAAAATCCCAACATTTTTAAATATGCTATTTTAATCCCTCCTTCAAACGCTACCTAGTTTATATAGCGTACTATTCCAAAAATTTTGATATTAGAATATATTATTAAAGAAAATTGGTTATCTATTCTTATAAATTTATTTTTAAATTTTTTATTATAGTGAAAAATTTAATTTTCACTATATGATTTTGGTATATAGCTAGTCTGTTCTTTTTGAAAAGCTTTGTCTATATATTTTAGATAAAAAGTTAAATATTGTTACAAATTAGTTGTTGGATCATCCCATAGTAAATTGAGAATTTAATAGTTCAATAAATTCATTACATTAAAAATCGAAAATCTTGGTCTTAATATTATTGCAATGATTCTATTACGAAATTCTATACAATTTAAATAATCTAGTTAAATCGTACTAACTCCTAAATATATGTTGTTTTTATGAAAAATAATTTAATTCATTTAAAATAAACTTAAATATATTATTTTGCATATGTTTAGGATGAACAATGTAGGCATTTATTTTATTTTAATTATATTTTAATATTTCGAATACAAAAGGTTTTACACTTGACTAAAAATTATAATTTCGAAAAAAAAAAAAAAAATCGCTAGGTTTTCGTAATCAGCTGATATAATTGAGGTTAGGTTAAATGAAAACCCACCAATGTTTACATTTTACTATAATTTCAAACACAAAGTTCTTGTTATTTAAAATATCAAAATATGATTCTAAAAAAAATATTTATTTTAAATAAATTTCAAATAAATTCTTTAATATTCTATACAAATTCAATATTTCAGTGTAATTTAAATGGAATTGTGTTAAATCGAAGATGTTTACATTTAAATTTTATGAATAAATCAAAACTATATCTAGATCGTGAAAATCAATATGCTCATGAAATTTTAAAAAATATTGAACAATATAATGTTTATAAAACACCATCTTTAGAAAATATCAATAAATCTGATTGTATTGATGATATTTTAAAGAATAATACAGAAAAAACATCAAGTCAAGTATTTGAAGAATTTAAAACTATTGTAAAATATTGCAAAGATAACAATGTTTGTATATCTGATGATAAATTTGATGAATTTATTGATACATTTACAGAAAAATGCCATTATTTTACTGATGAAGAATTAATTGAAAGTTTAAATTATATGGCATTTTTGCCCGCAACTCCATTTATTTATTATAAAAATTTTATGGAATTATGGTTAGCATTAGATGAAGCAACATGTGCTCGCTTAGAAAAATGGGATCTAAATAAAGTTCTATATGTATGTGAATGTTGGTATTCATTTAGTATGGCTAGAAAAAGTGAATTTGTTTGGTTAAGTTTAAGGAAATTTGGTCGAAAAATTAAAAAATTAAGTAAAATTGAAATGGTACATTCATTATTCTTTTGTAATTTAGTAAGAAAACCATTAATTGAGATGTTTGATTATGAAATAGCATGGAAAAAACATTTTAATGAAATGACTATTGAAGAGATAAGTATTATGTCGATGGGATTTTTTAAAACTAAAACTAAAATTCGTAGTCCAGAATTGGCTGATAAAATATACGAGCGCTTAATAAATGAATTAGAAAATGTAATCAATAAACCTATTTGTTTGGTTAATATTTTAAAAATTCTAAGATATTCATCAGGAATTCCACAAAGAGACATTATGAATCATTTATTAGAAAAACTTTGTCCATTCATCGATAATTTTCAATTAGTAACTTGTTTACATATCGCTTTATTAGGCTGCGATATGCAACAGTGTCATGATAAATGTATTGAATTAATAATGAATCGATTCAACAGAGATATCACAGAAGCTAGATTGAAGGATTTGGAACGAATAACACATGCTATGTCATTATATAACATATCAGATAGTAGCGGCGTTAAAAATGAACTTTGTCAAAAAATTATGGAAGAAATACCAAAAAGAATTAATGAAATTGTTTTGCATCCACAATGTTTTGCTGCTTGTTTGCATTACATGACTTTATGTGGTCATCATAATGAAGATTTTATAAATATAGTCCTGGATCAAAGATATATGAGACATGCTTACGGTAGGAATTTAATGCTTGGCCGTGAAGTATTTTGTTTAGATTCCTTTACTAGAATTAATTTGGCTGGAAAATACAAGTAAATAATTGAACTTACATGTTATATTATCATTCCAATATTTTATTTAGCTACATATTTTTTTCTTAATATTTTAGTGGTACTCAATTGACTGATAAGAACCGTGCAACAATGGGAAAATTATTGACAAATTACATCCCCGAAAAAAATTCAAAATATAAATTAAACCAAACGGATAAGATTCTGTTAGAGGTTAAAGATTCCTGTCAGAAAATATTTAAATTCTGTTCTATTAAACATATTCTTCCACATTTTCAACGACCCGATATTGTACTATGTTATGACAAGTCAAAAAAAGAAGCCATCAATTTAGAAGATAGTTCTATAGAGGATTACACTGGTATAATTCTAACTAGAGAAAATATGTTTAATGATGGCATAGAAAAAGAAAATATCACAACAATAGCAATAGTAATAGCAGGCTGGAATAATTATGTTAGAGGATTTGAAAGATATACTGGTATAATGGAGATGAAATTAAAACAGCTACAACTTTTAAACCATAAATACGTAGTTGTAAGTAGAAAATATTTTAAAATATGATAAGTTAAGCCGAAATTTAAGATAAAAAAAATGTATTTTAGATACCCTGGCATGAATGGAAAGATCTTCAGGGTAGAGATGATAGAGAGAGATATTTAAAAAGAAAATTAATACCTCTAACAGAGCTTTCAAAATAGCAGTAATATACATAATTTACAAATAAATACTTTTATTGTATTTAAGTAGAATATCCTAATAATATTTTATACAAAAATTTCAATTTTTCTAACTAATTTTGAAACAATATATTATTTGAAGGTACATATTATTATTTAAAATTTTAAAAAAATGCTACTTTGGAAATGTTGTTTCAATGAATTTCTTTGTATATTCATAAACTAAGAATAATGTTGCAGTAGCAGGTATTGTTCTTAAAACTGTTGGCAGTAATCCATTGTATAAAGCTAATACACCCTCACTACGTACAATACTTAATCCCATAGGTATCATACCAACTTTTAAACTATGAATTTGTATACGGCTTTTTATGACATCAGCAGGAAATATTGCTATCCATAATGCGATACCACCAACGGCTCCAGATATCATAGTTTTTAAAGGACCAATATCATTCTTCGTTTGATCAGGCCTAAAAATTTTTAATGTTATTTCATTTGATATTTTGATATTATAATATAAGTAAATTTTTTGTACTTTCTAAATAATTCGCGACAGCCTTCATATCCTCCAAAAAAGAAAAAATATCCAGGCATCTCTCTAGCAAATGTTGGTATTAATCCACGATAAAATCCCGCAATACCTATAAACAAAAAATCAAAACAAAAAGTTATATTAACGCGAAATTGCTATAAAATGATTTTATTATTCGCAAAATGATTAATTTTTTAATTATCATTATTTTGTAAATTACGTATTTCTAAACTATAAATAAAGTTATCTACATGTTATTTTATGTTATTACCTTCTGCTTTGTAAATTTGTTTTGCTAAAAAAAGTGGTGATATATGATTTGTGCCCCCCATCTAAAACGTAACAATAGATAAGCTTAATGACGTTCGGATTAATAATAATGTTAAAAGTTTATAAATAAAAAAAAACAAGTTTTTTACCTCATGCAAAGCTTGTAATTTACATTTGACTAATTCTGTTGGACATAATGTAAATGTTGAGAAGAATGCTGCTAGGAATCCGGATAATGCGTTTCCAAGTGTATTTAATTGTTTTGGATCTTCATAACCCAAAGTTTTAGTAACAATTTTTTGGCATCCTCCATATGCCGCAAAAAGAACCGAATTTTCAGCTACATTCGCTATTACAGCAGGTAAAGTTCCAGCGTATAAACCATGATATATTCCATCATTTTTGAATGTTTGTATCATGCAGTTAACCATTCCACGATAAAGTTCTGGAAAAGCTTGCATTTTTACTTTTACAGTATCAAGTGGTTGCGAAACATAAACAGAGCATACACCACCCAATGAACCTGCCAAAAAATCTGTTAATCCATCTCTAAATGTATGATCTTTTAGATGGCTTTCTATCTGAATAAGTTGTAATTCTGGATCCATTTCATTTGTTTTCAATTAAAATATTATTTATTTGATTTTCTTTTAAAATTAATAAAAATTTCAAGTCAAAGCTTTTTAGTCAACTAATTATGTTATAATTTAGAAACTTGAAGCATTCTGTTAACCAACTTTCTGATAACAAACCTCTTATCTGTAATAGAATTTGTCCTGATAAGAATTATTATTTGACATAGAATAGATTGTTCTAATTACACTTTTATCTGTTAAAATAAAATGACATTTAATCTAATGAATTTTAAATTTTTGAATATTAACTAAATTATTCTTCCAAAGAGAATTTTGCAATAATTTTTAATGACGAAATAAATTCAAATAAATTGTAATGTAAAATGTAAATAAATAGCACACCGGAATTATTTTGACACTAAAGTCAAATGTCAAATAAAATGAAAATAAAAACATTTGGTTATAGGGATGGGTCGATAAATAAAATTAAAAAAAAATCGATTCAATTTAAGAGAAAGAAAAAAATTTTGCAAACATCAACAAGAGCGATTTTTTGCAGCGAAATATCAAAATTCATGTAGAATATACAAATTTAAAATTACCGTCTTGAATTTAATCCCCAGTGTTTAAATAGCCTAAATTTTACCATTAGCAGTTTTTTTTGACATCATCTGCTTTCATGTGTGTGTAACATTATATTTAAAAGACTAAACAGTTGAATTTGCTATTCGTTTCGCTCTTGTTCTTTGGTTCAAATATTAGTTTTAATCTATTATTTTGATCACTATCAAAAAAATTTTTGTTACTTTATCATTAGTTTAAATTACATTTCCCTCAAAATTATTAGCATTTCCAGCATTCCTTAAATTACTTTAGATTCTTTTCACAGAAACTTTCATTTTCATAAAATAATAACAGACCCCTTAAAAAGAACATGTACTTGTTGTCATAATAACAATTTCTATTCGTGAATTTTGACATTAATTCACTCCATTATGATAACACATAATGTACATACCTATTTATGTATAAATTATGGTAATAAATAGCCATATGCATGTACAATTTTAGCGAATTCGCCAAAAAAAAAATAAATCATTCTCCTTGTGAATCATAAAAACCCAAACACATCAAAGCATTAAATTTGTTAACATTTAACATAACATTTTTTTGACAGTGCCATTTAATTGCTACATTGTTGTGCCATTTAATTGTTTTCATCCTAAAATTATGCTCTTTTTACGGTAATAGTGTAATTAAACATTTTTAAGAATTTAAAATGCAATTTGTTTTTTTTTTATTTGAATAATTTTATTTTTGTTTCTTTTGTAGTTTTTTTTTTTGTCCTTTTTTTTTTATTAAATATAAATATTATATAAGTTTTATGTTTATATTATACTTTGTATAGTTAATAATTATACAATTATGATTATAATATTATAATAATGACCTTAATATTATATTCATGGTAATATTTTTTTTTTCTTTCACTTTTTTTTTGTTTTTCTTTTTGAAATTTTTTAATATTTCTGTTAAATTGTTTTGTTCATATTTTTTTTATAATTATATATATATATATATTTATATATTAAATTAAATATAATTTAATTATTTTATACTGTTTACAGTAAATGAAATATTTTATATAATTATATTATGATATTATTTAATTAAAAAAAAAAATGTATGCATTTTTTTTTGTTGTTTTTACAAATTAAATTTGAATAAATTTTTAATTTAAAAAGAAACATAGGTTTTTGTAATATTATATATAATAAGTTAATACAATAATCAAATATATTTTACAGAGAGTTATAATTAAATTATAATTATTTTTCTGTATATAATATTCAAATAGTTGTTATACGTATAATAATAATTATTATAAATAAATTTTTCATAGTTTTGTTTTTTTTTTTTCTTTTTCTTGCTTTAATAATAAAGTATAGCACAATTAATTTAATTAATTAATTTTATTTAATAAAAACTAATTATTTATTTATGAATAGGTAACATATTATATGATTAAATTAAAATTTTAAATAGCAATAAAATATTATTAAACATATTTTTTTTTCTCATAATTATTTTTATAGATATTTAATGATCATTTGTGTATTTTGAGATTTTGAACGCATCACCGATTTGCGTTGCTTTTAAAATCGCTATATTATAAAATCGATTTTTTGTTTAGTTGTTCTTAATTATTTTTTCTTTTATGAATTAAAGTTTCTGTTTTTTAATATTTTATAATTAAAAATTAATTTATGGGCGAATTCATTTCATTTTTAATATTTTTGTTTCTTTTTTTGTTTTAATATAGATTTCATTTTTTTTTCTCAGAAAGTACATTAATAATCTTTTTGTTTGCGTTTTGTTATTTGTTTTTGTTATATAATATAAACATATTATTATTACAATTATATATATATATATATATATATATATAATACTTAATTAATATATTTTTGTTTTTCACTACAATTTAATAAAATTAATTATAATAAAAGGAATAATGTATATATTCATTTTTTGTTTGTTTTTTTTAAATTATTATACAATTTTTATTAAATAATTAAATTCATTTTCTTTTTTTTTTTGTTTTTGATCTTATTTTTTGGTTGTTTTATTTTATTATAAACATTATATTTTCATTTTATATTGTAGATATTTTGGTCAATCGATGTATTTAATTTTAATTATTATATTATTATATTGAATTATAAAAATTGTTATACATAATAATGGAAAATTAATATAAATAGAATAAAAGTTAAAAATATATTATAAATATAGATGTAGAAAAATTATAATAAAAAGAAATATAATTAAAAAAATATTGTTTGTAAAATTAAAAATATTTTAAATAAATTTGAAATTTTGCTTTTTTTACATAATGAAAACATAAGTTTTTTAAATTCAGTTTTTTAGTTTTTCTTTTTACTTTTCATAAAATTGATATGTTAATGTATATATAAGTAGTTAAAAATTTTGTAAGCCGTAAGAATTCGATTTTTAATTTATATTTTTTTAAATACATATTTTACTATAATAATTTTAAAAATTTATATTAATTTTTAGAAGTTTTTCTTTTTTTTTTTTTTTGTGTATAATAGCTTCCGTTTTTTAAATTATATTAATTATGAGTTAAAAAACCCAAGTTGTTTTTAAAAATGGAGATCATTTATAAATATCCAGCTGATTGACTCAGCAATTCAATTTGAAGAGAGAAAGAAGAAGGAGATAAATAAAGAAGAAGGAAATGAATAAAGAAGAGAATAAAATAGAGCGAAGAATTTGTATTGAACGTATTTGTGTTGTATTTTTAAAAATGTATTATAAAAATTTATTTTAAATTAATTAAAAAAAATTATATTGTAAAACTAATTTAATGTTGATTGAATTACAAATTGTATCATTTAGTTTGAAACGATCAAGCATATTTGATTTGAAAACAACCAATTCAATCAAACTAAATTGTATGAAAAAAAATAGAATTTTGTCCTATTTGTCATTCCAATTTTTTGACAGCTGAAACAAAAAATGAATAGTACTAAAATTTTAGATGTGTCGTAAGTGTGATCAGCAGATGTTTTTTTTTTTCAATTAGAATATTGAAAAAAAAATAAATAAGTGAAAGAAAATTTGATCAAATCAATTTTGATTTACAAACATTAATTCGGTTAGTTGTATGTTTTAGTTGTCCAATTTTGTTTGATTTGTAAACGCTGCCATTCATATTCTATTATTACAATTTATTAACATAAAAATTTTATTTTACAGAGTAAAATTATTAAAGTAAGATATTTGTAATTGATATTTGAAATACCAAATATAATTGATTTTATAAGGAATAGTTACATAATTTCAGAATTAGAAATTTTATATAATACGTAACGTATGCCTATAAATAGATTTGATTTTTAATGAAATACAAATTATAAAAATGTGAATTTATAGAATTATTATTAGTTCTTTTGAAAATAAAAACATTTAATTGAATTTTTGCTGACAAAAGACATGTCGTGGGCTATAATTGATGTGACCCGTCAATTGAGTTTGAACAGTTCGTATAGTTTAATGCAGAGAAAATTGACGAAAACCCGTCAAGGAGTACTTTAAAAGTGTTAATAATTAATATGTATAATATGTGTTAGGAATTACTGTATCAAAATTATAGAAAATAAAATTTAACTGTTTAATAAATTACACAAATTAGTAAATTAAAAAACTTCTAAAAATTTCTACAAATTTTTAAAATTAAAAATATATAGACCTAAAATTTTGTTTATTTTTTGTTTTATATTTTTTCTTAGCTTCTTTCAACTAAATTTATAATATATGTTCTTTTTTTTTTTTAATAATAATAATTAAATACAATTTATTGTTTGTTAATTAATTAATTAATAAATTTATATTTTAATAAATCTTTTATATAATAATAATAATAATTATTAAATTAAATAAAATTTTACATATTTTTTTTTTTTGTATAATATTTTAAAATGAAAAAAATTTTGTTCGGTTGTTTTTTATTTTAAATATCAAGTTTTTGATTTTTAATGTGCCAACTAAATATTATTTACTGATTTTATATTAATGAACATATAGCATATAAATATATACGTATACATATTATGTTACATACATATACATATATATATATATGTTTGTGAATATGTAATTTATATAATGTACAATAATAATAATATTTAGATGAATAGAAAGTTATACATTATAATTTTTAATGAACATTTTTTTATATGCAAATTATGAAAACATTTTTTTTTTTTATAATTATTATAATTATTATATATGTATATTTGTATATAATATATATGTATATCGTATTTATTATTTATTTTTTTTTTATTTTTTTTTTTTGGTTTTGTATATAAGATTATTTTTTTTTTTCTGTTTTTGTATCTAAATCTACAAATATTCAAAATATGAGTATACAATGTTTTTTTTTTTAATTTTTTTTTGTTTTCTTTTATTTTTTAATTATTTTTTTGTTCATTTGGGTTTTTCTAAATTTGAAATTTTTGTACTTGTTTTATTTCTTTTTCATATTTTTTGTCTTTTTTTTTTTTAAATATTTTTATTTATTAATTAATTAAATTTTATTTTTATTTTGTGTTTGGTTTTCTATGAAAATGAGAGATTTGTAGATTTTGTTTGTTTTTGTTTTTCATTTTATCTTATATTTTTTGTATTATAATTATTTTTTATTTAATAATAATTATTGTTTGTTTTTATTTGTTCTTATAATATTTTTGTTTTGTTTAAAAATTTATATGAAATGTATTTTTTGTTGTTTTTTATTTGTATTGGTTTTTTTTTCTCTTTTTTTTTTTATTTTATTAAATGGCTTAAATTGTTTGTTTACTTATTATTTTTATAATTATATGAAATCCTTTAACCGTTGGGTCTTTTGGCACATATGTTTGTTTTGTGTTTTTTTTTTTTTTATTTTATAATTTTTAATTGTTTACATTTTGTTTTTTCATATTATTTACCATTCTTTTCTTTATCGTATTTCTTATTGGTTTGTTAATAATTACAATATACTACATACTTGTATATTATTTGTAATATCTAAAAATTTTTTTAAAATTAAATGTTGTTTTTATTTTCACTTACATTTTTTTTTGTGTAATAATATTTTATTATGCAATTATATTTATGTATAAATTATGTATGTATATATATAATTTTTTAACTTTATATATAATTTTTATACATTACATTTGTTTTCATTTCTTTCGAGTTATACACGAAATTCTTTTAATTTTATTAAATTTTTATTTGTTATTTTATGTTAAGAATTTTATTTTAAGTTTTTCTGTGTATTAAAATTTAACATAAAATTACATAAAAAATATTATTTATTTATTTGTTTTTATTTTGTTGGCGTTTATTGTTTAATTTGTGAACCTGTTTCGTTTATATTAATTTTATTATTTTAAAACAATTTCATAATTCGCTTGTTTTCAATATTTTTATCTTTACATAAGCATTTATTATATAGTTAAGAATTTTTATATAGAGCTCCAGAAAGATTTTAAAGTTTGAAAATAATAAGTATCAGATTTTTAAGTTGATAAGTTGACAAGGCTTGTATAATTTTTTTATTAAACCAAAATTCCTATTGAAAAGAAATATTTTAATTAAATTTTTTGAATTCCTGAATTTTGGAAAATTTATAAAAATGAGATTACAATTTAAAGTTCTAGATGTATAGGAGAAAATTCTTGGTTTAAATATATTCTGCCATCGGGAATTGTTGGCAGAATACCGCATCGATACACAATTCAGCAATTGGAATTTAATATTGGCATGAATTCAGCATTATTGCGATTAAGACCTCAGAGATAATTATTATTAAAATTTTGAATATTATAATAAATAAAAGCAATCTAAAATTTATTATTTTATTTTGATTCAAAATGCAATCAAATTTATTATTTGAGAATAAGTTCTAATAGACTCCAGGTATATTAGTTATTTATAGGATACGTATAGAAGAAAATTAAATTATTAGTTTAATAAAATTAAATTTAAATATAAGGAATATTTTGTTCAGAACATAAAAAAAATCAATTTTTTTTTTAAATTTTTACTCAAAGGGTGTAAAATTTACGAATTATGAAAATTAAATTGAATTTTATTTGAAACAATATAGTAGAAATTTATAAATTATATAAGAAATTCTTCGATTATAGGAAGAAATTTTAAATTTCAATAAAATTATTTTAATTCACTTTGATACTTATTAGAAAAAAACTCTTAATCTTAATTTGAGCATTTAAGCACCCGTCTTCCTCATTTATACATTTTTGTAAAAGCTGTTTCTTATTATTAGTATCAGTATGTTTGTGTGTGTATTTATAAGGATTAAAAATAACTTAAATTATAATTTATTACATTAATATGATTTACTTTTTTTTTTGTGTTTGTTAGCGAGGAATTATAGAAATATTTTATATTATATAATATAAGCGTAGAAATTAAAAAAAAATTCTAAAAATTATTTTGATTTTTATTTAAATATTTTATGTATGTAAGTATATGTATAATAATTATATGTATTATATAGAATTTATATAAGAGAAAACAAAAACAAAAAAAAAAAGAGAAGAAAAAATTCACATCCATTTTGTTTCATTTTTTTTTATATAATTGTTGCGTTTGCTTTACATTACATACATAATTATTTATATAATATAGTTTGTGGGTTGTAATAACCGAAAGTGATAAAAATATTAAACGTAATTATTAATTGTTATAATGAAAATTATAAAATTAAATAACATTTAAAAATATGTATGAAATATTTGTAATGATATTTGTTTTTATTCAAATATAAAAATCAAACGGAAATAATCCCGGAAGACATTTGATTACAATTAAAAGAATAAATAAAAATTTAAAAATTATTTGAAATGTAAAATAAGTGCCAAGGTAGTAGTAAATTTTTTATATTATCAAGAAATTAATGTATTCCTACTAGAAAATATTAAATTCACGCTTTTCTACAATTTAATACAGAAGTATAATTTATAAATTGTAAGCTTTAACATATGAATAAGAAAAAAACTCTTTAATAAATAAATATTTTTTAAACAGGTTTAAACTATTAACATTTTTACATATATTTATATATATTAGATACGTTGATTAAATGTGATTGGATTTGATAAAAAATAAATAACTAAAAACTTAAAAAAAAAATTATTTTTTATTCTGTAATTTTTTTTTTTTTAATAGTACGCTGGGAATGGGTGATAATTTGATGGATTAGGTGTATGATGATTTGATGATGGTAAAACTGGTCTAACAGATGGATGATAATTTCCAGATGCAACTTGATGATATGCACCAAAACCACGTGCCATATGACGATTTTGTGCAACAGCAGCTGTTTCACCTAAAAGTCTTGATTGATCAGACCCTAATAGTCTATTATTTTGTTCCATTAATAAATGGGCGGTGGGATCGACTAATAAACGATGCTGATCAGCATTTGATGCTGCTAATAAACGATGTTGTTCTGCTGTCGATAATAATCTATGATGTTGTTCTAATGTTTCACGGCTATTATGTTGAATTTGTGATGAAAGAAATGATCTATTATTACCGACACCCATATTTGTATTTGGTGTCAAATCTAATGATACCATACGTAACATATCATGATGTGGATGACTATAAGGTAAAGACGGTGGTGGTGTTACAACATAATTAGCTGTTCTACTTAAATCAACAGATGTTGCTTGATCATGATCCTGATCATTCATTTGATCTGGTATCATATTATGAATTGATTGATGTTGTTGCTGCTGTTGCATTGCCAATTGTTCTTGCTGATGTTGTTGCTGTTGTTGATGATGTTGTTGTTGTTGCTGTTGTTGTTGTTCACGTTCTGAAAGAATATCATAAATATGATGATGATATCGACCTAATCCTATATTTGAACTATTTGTAGACGGTAATTGAAAATTATGATGATAATTTGTTCCAACTTGATTTGATCTAGATGACATATCTAATCCTTGTAAATCTGATAAGTCATTTGAAGTATTATTTCGGAAATCTGTTACATCCATATCTTGATTATTACTATATTTTAGTCCTGAATTTGTCATACTTTCGTATTTAGAATACATTAAGTCCATTTGTGATTGAGTAAATTTCATTCGCATCTCTTCTTGACTAGCAGTACTAAAATAAAATTTATTTAACATTTTTGAATTGAATAATTTATACCAAGACTATTTACCTATTTTGCGCAATAATACTATTTTCTTCATCACTAGATAATTGGTTTTGTGCAGATAAATGAGCGCGTTCTTCATCCCGTTTTCTGCACATTTCATTGTTAAAGTCATACCTTGGAATTGCTGGTGAAGAAGCTGGTGATATTAATTCATGTTCTGGATAAACTCCAGTTGTTGATCCTGCAGCTGACCTGCGATTTTGAATGGAAGGCAAAGGTGATGATCCTGATATGTTATTGTTACTACCATTGCCACCACTGCCGGAGGTATTAACCGAATTAGGCCCATTTCCACTTGGACCACCAAACATGGAATAATCTCTGCCTGGTGATATTACTTGAGGTGAAGGAGGTGTTTGATGATGGTTTGAAAACCGATCTGAATCACTAATTTGTTGACCTCGTGGAGTTGATCCTGCATCAACATCTATGTCATTATTACTACTAGCATTATTTGTATTGTGATTGTTAGCATTAGGGGTTTGTGCATCCGGCGATATATTACAAGAGCTTAAATTATTTGTTGTTTGATTTTGATTATTATTTGTAAACATTGGCAATGGTGGTATTTGCATTGGGAAGTTATTTAAATTCTTCATCATCTTAATTTCATTTTCTAAACTTTCAATACTGCTAATATTGTTGACCGCATTACCAGAACCTCCATTATCAGGACCTTCATTCGCAAATCGATTTGCTTCTACTTCCATTTGTGCATTAATTTCATTATCCGTATCTAAGGCAGAGTCATTTGGACACTACAAGAAAGAATTATATGTATAAGCATAATCTTAGTTTACTGTTCGAACATAAAACAAAAAAATTATTACGTTACTTACTTTTAAACTTCCCTCACTTTCCATTATATTTCCAACAGAATTCAGTGCAGCTTCTACTAACATGCTTGCCGAAGTTGAAGCAGAACTTACAGCCCCCGTTAATCTTGAGTTTGCGTTATTGTAGAAAGAATTCATGAAAGACTGAGTGTGATTCATTGGGTTCATATGCATTTGTGTTTGTTGGTTATCATTAGTATTCGTATTGAAATGTGATAATTGAGCCGATGGATTATGGGAATCTACAACATCTAAGAATGAAGAATTTTCATCTTCTTCATGAGGCATTTGATGGTGTCCTTGTTGTTGTTGCTGTTGTTGTTGATGATGCTGCTGTTGTTGTTGCTGCTGTTGTTGTTGGTGCTGTTGTTGATGTTGTTGTTGATGATGATGAGGTAAATGATGTTGTTCAACATTATTTATTCCCATAAACCGTGCAATTAAATCACGATTAGGTAAAATTTTATTCGCTACATCTTCTACAGTTTCATTATCTAATAAACCACTAGCGTTAACGTTTCGCATAGCTTGGTGTAAGTTTAATTGTTGCTGTTGTTGTTGTGCGTGCCTTAAATCATCGTCACTTATCCATTTTTTACTACCTTTACTCACAACCAAATTTTGACAGGCGGCACTAGTCGAATCACGCGAATTTGTTGAACCACTACCCATTCCAATAGGTCCATGTCTATAATTATTGTCATTATCATCAGGAAGCTCAGGTGAATCGTGTAAATTTGAAGGTAATTTGTTTCCGTTATCAGTATCTAAATTATTTACAGATGAAACAACAGCTGCCGCCGCAGCAACTGCTGATGGTGTGGTACCTAAACGTTGTGCAGTTGTCGATAGGAAAGTTTCAACTAAACTTAATTGGGCATTTTGTTTTCTTCTAGCTTGTTCTAAACGATCATCTTCAGTTTCGCCACATTCATCTAATAGGCCGGCAACAACTGATTGATTTAACATTTGATTGGAATTAGATTGTTGTTGTAGCTGCTGCTGTTGTTGTTGCTGCTGTGGATTCTGTTGCTGTTGCTGTTGTTTATTTTGTGTTGGCTTATTTTTTCTATACTTTCGTTTTCGCTTTGGCGCTTCTACCGCACTATTACTAGAATCTTTATTACTTGGTTGTGGTGGCAGTTGTGGTGGCGGTGGTGGTGGTCCACTACCAAACATAGACGTTAATTTTGATGATAAAAGTGATAAATTGGTTTCATTGCGACATAAATCTTTTATTGATTTGCCAGATTTTTTCATTGTTTCAAATATATTATCATCTGAAAAGTCACTATCGTTATTACTATCAAGAATACTGGAACTAAGGCGGGAATTTTGATCTTCAAGACTCTTCCTTCTACGTCGTGGAGCTTGTTCTAAAAAACAATGTTATTGTATTATTTAATATTATTTTGGTTTTTACATTTTTTGAAGAATTTAATTTTCAGTTTTACCTAAGAAATCTACTTTCATTCCCCCAGAATATGCATCAAATGTATATGCAACACTTCTTTCAATTTTTGGCATTTGTTCTTGTGAATAGTTATGTACTTTTTTATAATGAAATTGAAGACACTGTTTTGTTGTAAATGCAGCCGTACATTCATTTTCAGCACATCTAAAAATAAATTTATAAAGTTTAATAAAACTTTTTTTAAATAAATATTTCAATTTATTGATTTGCTTACTTAAATGGACGAACTCCAGAATGTGTTAACATATGAATTTTTAAATTACTTCGATTTTGAAACAGTTTCTGACATCTTGGGCAGCTAACAACCGTTGAGTTCCGGCTATGAACCTCTTTATTGTGTCTCTGAAGAGCAGCTCGCGATCCTAGAAGTTTTGAACATAGTTTACATTGGAAATCTCTTAAAACATCAGCCATATCTATACATAGAAGGGAACAGTTTTATGTTTAGAGGAATAAATTCATGTTACTTTTTTGTTTTCTTTTTTTTTATGCGAATTTTTTTAATGAAAAAAAAAATAAAATAAAATTAATAAAAATATAATTTTAACTTGTGTGTTTTTTAAAAATGAAAATGTAAAACTCAAAAATTTCTAAATGGTTGTTTTGATTTAAAATAATGAAATTATTTTGTGTATAAACTATGAAAGATGGGTACAGGGGATTTAGAGAAAGTGAAATGATATACTCATGCTTCAACATCAATTATATTGTATATATATATATATATATATTAATTATACATTTATACATTAATTACTAAAGTAACAAAATAAATTATAAATGATTTAACGAAAAGTTATTCTAATTAATTTACAAATTATTGGAATTTGATTTGAGTGTCAACATTGAGAAAGAACAATAATTTTTTACAACATATATAAAATATTATTATATAACATTTATTTTAAAAATTTTTAAATATTTATTATAATTATATAGTTATTCTAACGTAAGTTCCGCATATTCGAGAAAATACGCAATCTTATCAATGAATCTTTGACAGAAGTTTTGAAATTTAATGGACTCTAAAGAGTAATTTTATCTCCAATAGGAAATTTTAGAGTTTTTTCTTAAATCAAATTTAATGGAGCAAATCAGCCAAATTGTATTCCTCATTGATTATTAAATCACCGTCAAATGTATACCGGGTTGAAATGCCCTACAATTATTATTATTAATTCTAAAATGCCGAAATATATTAAAAAAATTAATTTTAAATAAAACGTACTTGTAATTTTAAAATTTTGTGATAGGTTATGAATTACGGCATACTTTTATATCAGTAATCACAGCATGCAAAATCATTTAACTCTCATTATTATAAAAATTTAGTTAGCGCGTTGAAACAAATTATATTTCGACAAGACGACTACGGACTTTTGCTGTAAGCGATGGATAATATAAGGTAACTCCTATTTGTAACAATTCCCTTTCAAATAATCAATATTTTACAAATTAACAGTCAATAAATTTTTAAATAATAAAGGACATATTCTTTAAAATACAATGTCGTGCACGGTTTTGTTATAAGATAATCAAATAATTTTTAATAAATTTAATTACATTAAATTGCTTCATCATTTATTTTACATAATCTTAAATCCTTACCATAATCTAATAAATTAAATATCTTCTTGTAAATTTTTATTATTTCTATTATAAATTTCCTTTTTTCATTTTATATTATAAACTTCTTTTGCTCAATTCCTATAAATCCCCTTATACTTGTTGAGCAGGAACAATATTCATGACAATTAAATGTCATGATCGCAGCTGGTATATATACATGTACATATATATTTAACCAGTATACAATATAAAAGCAACAAAAAAAAAAAAAAACAAATACTACAATAATTTTTAATCCCAAACTTACCACTGTGCATTCTTTTAATATGAATTTTAAGTTTTTGAGGTTGACAAAATTTCTTTCCACAAAAATCACAAAGCGGTCGTGTTCGTTGTGGATTTGCACTACAACCATATGTTCGATGCATTTCCAAATAATTAAGACGAAGAAAAAATTTTGAACAAAACTGACATTGATATGCACCTCGACCATCGTGCATTTGGGCGGCATGCTTAACTAAATTTTCCTTACCCAATACTGCTTCACCACATATTTTACAATGATATTTTCTGATTGTTAAACTAAATGATGGATCATGGAAAACTGAACAATGTGTTCTATAATGTAATGGATGATCAAATTTAACGTTACAACCACCGCAATCTAAAAAAAAATAATAAGAGAATTAATAAATGAAAAGTTAACTGGTAATATTTGAGGTATTCCAAAATTTTTGATGAACAATACTTTCAGAAAGAACATGTATATATATTTTTTACATAAAAAAAAAATCTTATAGCTTTGCTGATGTCTCGCAACAATTTGAAATTTAAAAATTCTAATGGGTAAAATTTATTTTACCCAATGGGGTGAGATAAATAAAATTTGTTTTATCAAAGACATTGCGAATATACTTGCATGCGTAGTACTGGAGTGCATGTGGTATTAAAAAAGCAATTTAATTCATATTGGAGAGAGTAAAAATATTTACATTCTCAATTTTTAACTTAAAATCCGAGACTCTAACCATCTCTCTTTTGTTTTTAAATCATATTTCTTACGTATAAGTCTGGCTACACTTTTATTTCTAATTGTATACTTTAAAAGACTAAAATCCATTAATATAGAATAAAATTCCAATTATTGATATTATTAAAATTTGTTACTTTCATTTTTCAAAGCCAAAATTTGATTATTTATTAAGCAGTATGAAAAAGAAAAATAAAAAAAAAAGTAATTTGTCTTAAAAAATATTTACCCTTTAAAAGAAAATAAGAAGCAATTTTTGACCCTCCTAACGAAAGTTTTCATAGTGAATGACCCTTCAGCAATAGCTACTACACTTTCATTTTTCATTATCCTTTTTTTATAACATAATTAATGACTTTATTATAGAAAAAGTTATTCAGATTGAAAAATATTTAATCAATCGTTTCATTGTACGAATTCCGTCTATTGAGTTGGTAATAAAATTGCAATTTTTGTTTTCTATTCGAAAATTTTTAAAATTATAAAATTTTAGTGTGATATAAAATCTCAGACGATAACATTTTTAACAACTATTCTTTACTTTATGTTACTTTAAAAATTGTTTTAAACTTGTAAATTTTATAGTCTTGCAATATTTGTAAAGAGAAAGAGAACGTGTACATCTTTTTCGTTGTTTAAACAAATTTTCGATATAGGAACTTTTATGTACTTACTTGTTTTATCCCAGTGTTTTTTACGCCACGATGAATTACAATCATCACTCCAGTATAAAAGTTCACAGCCAATTGGTATTTCATTGGTGGTAACAAAATATGCTTTTCTATCTATCGAAACCAAATTAACATTACGTTCTTCATATTTTTTAGCAGGACGAATATATCTTAACCAATTTGAATATGTTGGATCATTTGCTGATATAAATTCTGATTTTGTTCCATCATGCGTTTCAAATACATATTTCATATTACAATCTTCTGAAATATCATTATTTTGAACAATTTTCCCTATTAATGGTCCTAATCTCATATGTTTTGGTAAATTAATTTTTGTATATATACCAATACAATTTGTTTCATTATTATTTCTATTTAAATTTTCATCACCATCATCATCAATACAATTATCATCATTCATATCATTATTTAAAATAGGCCTTAATTCAAATTGAGGTGGTAGTGATGCTTCAGCAAATATTGGTAATTTATTTGGTAAAATATTTTGTAATTCAGCTTTAATTTTATTTTTTAAACTACGATTATTTGCATTTTTACTATTATCTAAATCATCATCTTCATCATCATTATCATCGTCTTCGTCATCATCATCATCGGCACCATTTAAATCATTTGCTATTGCATCAAGATTATTTCTAGCTTCTTCAACAGCACGTTCATTCTCTTTTTTAACAATATACTCTTGAAAACCAATAGAATCAACAATAAAATCTTTACAAATTCTATATGGACATGTTTCAAATTCATGTGCTATTGTACAATCTCGACATGATTGTTTCAGTCTAATTGTATTAAATTTAATATCATCATTTAATTCTTCATCTTCACCTTCTTCTGGTTCATCTTCATCTATTTGATCATCATCATCATCTTCTTCATCATCTTCATCATCAATTTCAGTTGTACCGTTAGCAGCATTTGCAGCTGCTTTCATAGCTATGGCTTTCAATAATTCTTTATTATCTTCGGTTTCATTTATTCGACCGTTCAATGGTAATTTTGTACGTGATTTTTTCGTTTTTTGTGATTTTGAACGATCTCGTATTCTAAAACCATTATTATCAGTTCCATTATTAATATTTATTCCACCAGTAACACTTCCACCATTATCATTAATATTTTCATCATCATCTTCTTCATCATCTGATCTATTATAAACTTTATATTCTTTTGGTTTTTTAAGACATAAAGCTCCACGAAAACTACTATCATTATCCAATTCATTATTGGCAGTCTTCTGTTCTAATTCACTTTTAATTTTTTCTGCTATCCGACAATCTAAAACTTCTGGTAGATTTTCATCATTTATACTATGATTTGATAAATTTGATTTAGAATCTTGAACTGCAGTAGTACCACTTGTTGTATTATTATTATTATTGATAATATTATTGTTATTGGTGTTATTATTATGCTTTTTACTAGATTTTGTTACACCAAATTCTGAGAATTTTTTTGATTTAACGAAACCATTTAATGATGCATCTTGAAATTGAACACGTTTTTGTTTTTTCGATGCTGACGATGATCCCACTGATGAAACATTTTGTTGTGAAAAATCTATATTATCGGATGCAGAATGCTGAGATGTATCAAAATCTTTGGCACTTAAATTTGGTTCTAATTTAAAATTGGCAAATGGTTTTGATGGAAGGCTAAAATAGAATTAAAAAGAAAAATTGAAAATTAAATTAATTTCAAAAATTTAATGATTATTTTAAAGTAATGCTATGACTAATATAAGATTTAAATAAATTTCATTTGTGACCCAAATTTGAACAACTGAAGTGAGCAGATAACATAAGAAATATTGTGATTTTCCTATTTGAAATAGTAACATTGTGTTAGAATTCCTTCTTTTAATTCCAAACTCTTTGGAAATTCACGCAATTTAGCAAAAAGGGATTTTCCATGAAAATTAGGTTAATATCGTCATAAGTTTCGAATTTAAAAAAAGGTTTTATTCATTTTTATTAAAAATATGCCCATTAGTGCAATTAACTCCTCCAAATAATCAGATTTTTCTTAAATCATTCCATTTTTATGCATGAAATGTACAGAAACTCACATTTAATTTAAAAGTTTATTTGCCTTTCACTTATTTCTCTTCTATATCACCTGGTGTATTCTTATATTACCTTTAAAAAAAATTTCAAAGCCAAGACATTGATCATATACATGTTTACATATATACATTTATATTTTCAAATAGAAATGATAAGAGTTTATAAATTTTATAAGATACCAAATCATTATCATTATTCTTATCATCACTATTAAAACAAACAATCAATATTATTTATATACCATTTTTGATTATTTATACTAAGTTAAAATCTCACTTTAAGAATAAATATAACTGGTATTCATTCCACTTGCATAGAATAAAAATCGACCATATAGAATGTAGGAAAAACATGGGAAGAAAAAGAAATGGCAAGAACAAAAATATAATTAAAGTGGGAGAAAAGGATATGAAAAAAAAAAATTAGTCTCTCCATAAAACCAGAAAAGAAATGAAAAGAGGAGTAAACGAAAAGAAATACTAAAAGTTTACGCAAAAAATTATTTTTTCATTCAAAATACGACAATAACAACAACAAAAAACTAAAAAATAATACATGGAAGTAAAATTATTAAGGATTAAGGATTAAAAAGGAAAAAGAAAAAATTTGGGAATAAAAAAAAAAAACAAAAACAACAAAAATTTACTCCCTTTAATTTATTTTATTGCAAAAAATTTTGTTCACTTTTCTTTTCTTTAAGGATAACAAAACCGAATTGAAAAAGGTGCGTACATCCCTATCTAAAAAAAATATATGTATAACAGAAGAGCTAATAAAAAATCCTTTTTGCAAATATCAAATAGTAAAGAGATTGTTTTTCTTTTTCCCCAATTTTTTTTATTTTGTTTTCTTTTAAGAGAAACTTATAACAAAAGTCAAATTCAATATAATTCCAATATATCCTTGCAGTAAAAAAAAAAACAGAAAGCAGAAAAAAAGAATGCGAAAGAAGAAAACAGAAAATGAAGAAGAACAAGGTTCCTTTGTATTACGAAAAATTTTTTTTTTGCTTTTGTAAATTAGATACGATATGGATGTCTTATCCAGCAATATTTTTGCAATCCTTATATATTTTGTCTGTTATTTCAAAGTTTAGTCAAAGAGTTAAGTGTTATAAACTCATATATTTACTTTAAGTCAAAGAATAATCGCAACAATAGGAAGAATTTGGCTTAAATGTACAAATCTAAAGTTAACAGTTGGTATTTTTTTATAATAACGTGTGGAATATGCCTCTTTGCTTAGAGATTCCACTGTGTACCCTGGAATAGATATTTGCATGCCTATTTTATTCGTTTTCCGGTAGTTTACCCGATTTCTATGGATGTTTTGGAACATGTTACGAGTATATTTATTCAGTAAATACAATTTTTGAATAATTTTTAATTAGAAAGTAAGAACGACACATAGCCGAAATAACCCGAAATAGCCCGAAATGGTGGGTTTCATTCAAAACTAAGTATTAGAGAATTGAAAAATTTGTTAATTGAAACGAAATTGAAACGTGATCATATTTGAATTTCGAAAAACATTATGATAAACTTCCCAATTACAAATATCAGTAAATTAATGTAGTTTTCAAGCAGAAAATTGTGGGACGAACCAAAAATTCTAAAACTTTTAATATGCAAATATTTTTTTTTTTCTTATAAATATTTTTCTTCCATCTCTTGATTTAAAGATGGAAAAAAATTTATTATAAAAATAAAGAAAAAAAAAATAAATAATAAAAAAAAAATGGAAATAAAAAAAATTCTTGTCGACCATTATCCTTTTTTTTTTGGTTTTGTTTTTTTTTATCCTTTTAATTGATTTTTCTTTCCGTTTTCTTCAATTTTTCTCTATTTTTTTTTTTTGTTGAATGTACAGAGTCAGAATGGACTTGAAGCTTCTGTATTTTATGTAATTTTATAAAACTTATATACGTATGTACTCAGATTGTATGTTATATAACAATTTTTCAGTATATTTTAGCTCTATTATTTCAGGTTCTTGAATTCATAACATTCGTATTTATAATAGAGAGCTCTATATGTGTACTACAGTGAAAACAGTATATGAAAAATATATTTTTTTAGATAAATAACATGTATATCTAGTATATTTTTAGTTAAGGATTACAAGAACTACACAAACACAAAAAAAAGGTAAAATATTATAAAGCAATGGAATGGAATAAATAAATAATAATTATAATAAAAAATAATAAGAATAGTCAAAACAATTACAGTACACAAATATTATAAGACAACAAAAAAAAAAATAATACTCAAACCTACCCACTATCCCTAAACCATCCTGTACAAAATAAAAATAAAATAGAAAAAAAAAAAATTAAGAAAAAAAAAGGGAAAAAACTGAAATTATCATCATATCTCGCTTTTATAGCCTCGCTTCGTATGAATTTTAAGTGAACGTATAAATTTTTTTTTTTTTTTGTTTTTATTTGAATTTAATTTTTCTTAGGGAAGATTTTGCGTTTTAACATAAAATATAAAGTGGAATTTGTATAGAGATAAACTGGAAATGAAAAGTGGGACATCAGCAATATTTTAATATTTTTGTACATTGTTGCCCTTTTTTTTTTGATTTGAAATTGGTAGTGTATTCCTACCAGTAGTGTTTTGTTCTACGGGATGAATGTTCTACACGATAAATTATAGAATAAATATTTTTGGAATATCTACAATGGAATAGACTGCAAAAAATACTAAAAGTGTATAAGATATATAAGATGTAGATCTATAAAAAAAATTAAGAATTATTATCTAAATTTTACTGGATGGTATAAAAAATAAAGGGTATTCTTATACAGGATATTAGAATCAGTATAGAATATAATAATTTATGTATATTCAGAACCCAAGAATTTGAAATGAGATGATTGCGTTTATATTGTATACCGTAAAGGAAGATGTAATTACTAAAATTTTCTAAAATGAAACCTCTAAATCTAGTTGGTGTCTGTGAATATTAATAGTGTTGTTAATAATACTGAATACTTTGAGGTTAATTGCTTGCTGTTTTCTTTAGGAAACACAAAAAGGAAGATTATATCAAAGTGAAACTCTTATTTTCTTAAATATGATCATTTTTATTACTTTTCTAATTTAAAACAAACTAGAAGAATTCATATTTCTGAAAAAATTGAGGTATAAAAGTGCAATGGGTAAATCATTTTTTTAAAATTATGATTTGGTAAACGGAATTCATATAATAAGATTGAAGAAAAATGAAGTGAATGCAGAGGCAAATGGGATAGAATTACAAACACCAGTACAAATATGAATTGATTTTCAGAGATATGAAAAATTTCAACAAATACCTGGTTAACCTTAACTGAATAAATAAAGGTAGATTATGAACTACTAAAAAATCTCAGTAGTTCATAATTACCTCATTATTTTAATTCCTATACATGCATATTATATAAAATATATTTTAAGTACTTCCAATACATTTTAAGAGCAATCAAAAAGTTTTATACAAATAGATCATTTTCTTCGAAATGTGGAAGATTGATATTGACTGAATAATTTGAAATTATCTTATAAATTTTATGTATCTACATTTTTTTATTGTAAGTGGTCAGCTAATAAAACAATTTTTTTTTTGTATTATTCCTTGAAAGTTTTCCCATCAATTTCATGGTTGGAAAATTTCAATGATATTATGTACCAATACTGTTATACATCTTTGTAAACCTTCCTCCTTCACATGTCGTATACCACTTTTTTTTTTTTCAAAATTAAATAGAAAAGAAAGCGAGTGTGCAATAAAAATCAAAACCAAAACAATGAAAACGAAAATAAAAAAAAAATAGTGAAATTCTCTCCGTCACTTTCCTATTTTATTTATTTTTTTTTTTTTTTTTTGATATTTTTACAAAAATAATTTTCTATTCTTTTCACAACTTTAAAAATAATATGAAAGCATCCGTATTGTTATTCTATTAACAGAACAAAATTGTTAAAGTGTTGATAGCAAATATAAGAGTAAAAATAAAAAAAAATAAAAACCTTCAAGAGTCTGCCTTTCTCAAAATAAACCCCCAAAGTTCATTAATATTATATAGGAAAAAAATGAAACTATTGAAAGAAAAGTTTAATAATAGAAAAGAGAAGACACAAAAAAAAATGTTACGAACCTTTCGGCAGCAGTATTGTTTGTTGTTGTCTTTGTTTTTCTTTGAATTTGTGTTTCAGTATACACATAAAATTATCGTTACATATTATGGCAATTTCTTGATATTATAAACGGTTTAAGAATTTAATTTGTCAAATAGCACATTCCCTATTAACAATTTAAGTATAGAACTTATATTTACAAATCTTTGGCTCCATGTAATAAAATTGATCTATTGAAATAATTCGCTTATATAGTATGGTATAAGTAGACAATCGAAAATTGAGATTTTGGAAATTTTGAGGAGGAATAATAACTCGAAAGAAATTTTTTACTAGAGTGAAATAAAATATGCATTCATACGGTGCCTAAGAGCTATATTTGAAATTTAATTACATACAAAGGTACATTATTATTTAATTCGCCGCGTGGGAGAAGAACTCGCCTGAAACGAAAAATATAGC